TAATTTATTGATGCATAGAAATTTTCCGAAACTGTTTTCATTTTGAATTGTGTGTTGAGTTCCTTATAATCACTTTTAGTTATAAGTTTTTTTTCATATCAACACAACACAAAGGAAAATTCTAAAACTTTTATTGCATGCCAAGAGTTTGACAAATTATTTAGCTTGTTTAACTCAAAGGAAAGTTGCAATGTTCTATCTCTTACTTTCATTTACTATTTATATGCAATTAGTTGAATGTGTTGTTTGATCGATTGATTCGTATAGAATTTCTCTTTGATTATTAAAGTTTAAATTGCTTTGTTTATTAGCTTATAATCACTTGATTGTAAGTGCTTTTGTATATCAACAAGTCTCAAAGAAAATTCTGAAAAATTGATTGCGCGTCACATGTTCGATAAATTGTCATGTTATACATTTAATATGATTTTATTGGAAATAGGAAACCGTTGTGTTGCATATTAAACAATTAATTGAGATATTACTATGTTGATTGATTTTATTATTATGTTAATTCCATATGGTTCGTGCATATCTGATTTTCCAATAACTAGGTTCATTTTGACTACTATTATTTGATCTAGGCCAAAAACCTTCCGCTCAACATTGTTTTTCAAATAAGTTTTAAATAAAAATTTTGAAAGGTAGTTTTTATTTAGGTATCTATTCATCCCCTCCTCTAGATACGGTGTTGTAGTCTAACAAGTGGTATCAGAGCTTCGGTTTATTTTGTGCTTTGAAACTCTTAGTAGAAAATGGCGTACAAACCTAAAGGGGGTTTCAAAATAGCCCCAATTTTTTCCAGAAGAAAACTATAGTTATTGGAAAGCTTGTATGCACATTCATATTAATTCATATGACAAGGATATGTATGACACTATTACTCATAAAAATACTAACGGCGTTGTCACATCTAAGCCAGAAGCACTATGGAATAATGATGATAAGAAAAATACATTAAATCTCATTAATCTTTTGAATGCACTTGGTAATCTTATTTCCAATGAAATTGCTACTAATAAAGTTGAGAGATGTCTTACTAGGAATTGACAACCGAAGGTCACCGCGATCAAGGAAGCTAATGATCTTACAACACTTGATCTCATTGTATTGTTTGGTAAGTTTGAAGAACATGAGCAATAACTTACTTGCATAGACAAGCATGAGAAAAATCTTGAGAAGATGAAGAAAAATAAGTAAGACACGGATAAGGAGGAAAGAACAAAGTCTAAAACTCTTAAGGCGTCATGTTCAAGGTCTTCAAATTGTGAGCACGTATACGATATTGATTTTAGTGATGGTAAAAATTTAAATTGTCACTATGGTTGTAAGATTCCCCAAATGCAACCAATTGTTTCACTAACCCCAAGGACTCAATGAAGATTGGGTACCTAGCTTGTCTTGTTGTTTTGACTCTATAAAGAGAATATGGGTTCTCATTTATGGTGGTTCAATTTATATGAATATATTATAATTCTATTGAATATGGGGCAAGATAATGGATTATATGATCTAGGAAGCAACAACAAGTTTTGTTTTATTGGTAAAAGATGTGTAAGTTACTTTTTGATGTTGTATCTGAGAATACTCGAAAAAGGTATTTCAATCTCATGATGTAGGTTTATCTTCAAGATACATACTCAATAACGCCGAATAAGTAATTGATCAATCTGAATCAGTGAAACATGAGGAGGAGAAAGATAACTAACATGAAAAGGATAAAGATAAGAGTTAATCAAAATGAAAGATCATCAAATTAATGACCTTCTTGGACTCATCACAAGTTATACTTTTGGGTACTTTGTCAAAGTGAAAAGTGGTAAGATCATGTTGTTCTAAAATCTTTGTGGCATACTTTTCATTTAGTTCAACTTTCTTTCGAGAATTCCTTGTAAAATGCAAGTGCATTCTTCGTCATTGTACGGCCAGGTAGTATCGATTTAACTTTCGCTTTGTTTGTAAGTTCCCTCTTTTACCTGTTTATTTCTCTAAGTACATGAAATACTTGGTGTATGACATATATATTATGAGTATTCATTTGCAAAATAATTCTTAATTGATAATCATGGTGACTTATCAATTTATATACTTATAATGATCTCATCATATTATATTTTCATGTATTTTCTTATAAACACATATGTATACATAAGCATGTTTAGCTTCACTAATCATCGAGCATAACACATTTGACATTACATCATATTTGATTCTACTAACATGGGATTTGTCAAAGAGTTTTCTAAGATTATGAAGGGATTATTTGAAATGAGTCTTATAGGAAGTTGAATTACTCTCCCATACTACAAATAAAGTAACTCAATGAAGTAACACATGCGTGGGAAATTACCTTCGCGATATTGTTGAAAAAGGGGATGTTGTGTTCGATATTAAACACTTAATTGAGATATTATTATGTTGATTTATTTTATCATTATGTTAATTCTATATGGCTTGTGCATATCCGAGTTTCTAATAACTAGGTTCATTTAGACTACTATATTTTATCTAGGCCAAAAACCTTCCGCTTAACATTGTTTTTCAAATAAGTTTTAAATAACCATTTTGAAAGGTAGTTTTTATTTGGGTATCTATTCACCCCCTCTAGATACAGTTTCGTAGTCTAACATCATCACCTTCCAAAGTTAACTTGTCTCCGACATCATCCTTCCGGATACATGAGTCCATTGTTGTTGCCCTAGAAGTTTCAGCAGTCCAACATATTGTTGTCATTTCTGATGTTTATTTAGGAGACCCCTCTGACACCTCACTACTTTGTATGTATGCTACCATGATGCTAGGCACGTGACAAATGGAGATGTAAAATAAATTTGTATATATTCTTTTAAAAATATGTGTTATAAGATTTAAAATTTTTGATGTTGATGTATTTTTTTCAGCACCTCGAGTCATTAAAATGTATTAACCACGATTGGATGTTTACGAAGCTGCCGCAACCTGATGAAGCATGGTTTCAAGATGTCATGCAACTATCTGGGCTGCAAGATTTATGCAGGACTAAGTATATTTTTATTAATCGTGGGTTGTTCTCTGCTTTCGTCAAGAGATGACACTCATAAAAAATTTTATTCCATCTTCTGATCAGTGAGATGTCCATCATAATTAATGATGTGTCATCCCTCCTACATTTTCTAATCAGAGGAAGATTGTTAAATTATTCCATACTCACTAGACCTGATGCACTATAGATTATGGTGCAATATTTGGAAGATGGCCCAGGTGATGCCCAACAGGAGATAAATGACACTATAGGATGTCAGGCCAAATTTGAATTTCTATAGAGGTTGTACAAATACCACTTGGATGCGATAATTGAGGATGATGGTGATGATACACAATTAGCACATTATAAAGTATGTGCATTGAAGTCATACCTTTTGTATCTGGTTGACACGTCCATATTCATGGACAAAAGTGTATACTATGTCGTTGTCGTCTACCTGAGATACTTTATTAACTTGGAGAGGATTCATGATTACATCTGAGGGGCCTCTTGTTTGATTTACGTCTACTCCAAGTTAAGTGAAGCTTGTTTATCAAAGACTAGACAGATGACATCAAGTAACACTTTACTTATAGTAATATATTTGCAACTTTACTGTTACTAATATTTCATAACACTTGTGCTATACTATTACTAATATTTCATATGATCCACTTTCAGACATGGATCCTTCAGCACTTTCCACATCTCTCTAAATGGCCATGTGTATGACTATGATGACACTTTGATACATGTTTGCTCCTTCATCCCGCTCAGAGAGAATCATACGGTCGAGTAATTTCGAGTTTATCTTGGCCACATCGCGGCATGTAATATAAATTTCACACCGTACGATGATCATCATGAGACATGCCTCTTCGAAGAGACATCCTTCTACTCCTGATGGATGGCTTGTGGGTCACGACTGATGTATCCATATCTACCTGAGCGAGTCATTCACGAGTTCGGGTACCTGCAGGGTATTCCTATAGCCCCACTATTATTGCTCCTCCCACACTCTACCACAAAGATGTTGATGAGATATTTGCGGAGTACCACGATCATCTAGTCCAAGAGGATGTATGTAGTGCGCCAGCTTCTCATCCATGGAGTACTACTTAAGGCTACTTCTAATGGTTTTTAGAATTGTACTTCCTTACATAGGATGCAGAGGGATAGTCACCTAGACCAACTTATCAGGAGATATTAGAGGAGAATGGGGCTAGAGCGGACCATGTCTTTGATGTGTTGCCGACCTGTCAGAGTATTATGACTATTAGGAGAGCGGTAATAGAGATAAAAGAGTTTCAGGAAGGCTCTCTTGATAGGGCCCATATAGAGACTATGATAGTCAAAGCACATAATGTCTTGTAGTAGAAGAAGTAGAGGATGAACCGAGGGGGTCATATATGCTCAATAATTCATTTTTTCTTTGTATTTTAGTTTATATTTTATAAACAATGTATGATTTACATTTTGACATAATATATAATATTTTGATTTAATTACGTAAATGTATAGTTACAATTATATATATTTTATATAAATAACTTAAAATATAAAATTTATTAAAAAATATCAAATTTATAACAAAATTACTGTCCGTGAGTGAAAATATTGTATTGAAGATTAATACGGAATTTAACTTCTTAATATCCATTGAAACTGAATTGTGAAATAAATTCAAATATCATAAGTTCAAAATAGAAAGGGTTAGTCCAAAAATTAACCTACGCGGACTTACCCTTCTATATTACGGATGTTAACTCGTGTACTATTTTTTGATAAAAAATAGGGAAGGTTCGCTTAAGAAGGATTTTGATTTTTGATATGTATGAGAGGGTGAAAAGAACAATCCCCAAAAAATATCAATCAAAAGCCCAAATATAAGTAGGCCTAACCGGTAGAACTCAAAAGTGTAAATGACTCAAAGAAAACAAGACGACGAAAACAGACCAAAGAAATCCAACACCACTTCTCGTTTCTCACACTAACAATGCAAACTCTTCTACCGCCGGCACCATTCTCCGGCAGGTTCACGGCGGTTCCACTCTCAGTCTCCTCCATTTCCGCCCCACATCTTCCCCGAAGAGTTCCCATCCCGAATTCCCTTCCCTCACTCCCTCTCAAGCTTACCGCTTCTTCTCCCTTTTTCAGCTCCTTCATTTCTCACCGACCATGGAACCTTCCCTTCACCGTAACCGCTTCTTCCCAACCCTCTCCACCTTTCACTCCCTCCACCGAAGAATCAGAAAAAGCAAAACTCGATCAGGTACACTCTCTCTCTCTCTAACCTATCAATGAATGTGAATTTTCTGAATTCCAATATTCGCTTGTTAAATTGAATTCAATTTCTAGGGTTTGAGTTTGGCTAATTTACAATGTAGCGTGACAATTGAGGTTTTGTTGCTGTGCAGGTTTCAAAGAGATTGGAGAAAACGGCGAGGCATTTTAAGCGATTAGGTAGCTTAGGGTTTTGGGGTCAGCTAGTGTGCACCATTGTATCAGCAGTTATACTGTCGTTTTCAGTTATCGTTACCGGGAAAGTTACATCCCCGGCAACGTTTTATGCTACAGCCGGTGGGATTGCTGCTGCATTCATTTCAGTATTTTGGTCCTTTGGTTATATTAGGCTCTCCGACAGGCTTAGGAGAACTGCAACCGATCCTACCAAGGTTGTTTTATTTTGTTCTTCGTTTAAATTTGAATAGTTGGATTTGCTTAGGAAGGTGAATAGTGTTAATTGTTGTAACTTATAACTGTTTCAATCAAATTTATGTGAAATCACTATCTGTATATAACATTGTATACTAATTAAGGGATGTTTAGATTGATGTATTTGAGCTTATCTAATGATATAAGCATTTGGAAGACTGTTTGAGATAGCTTATGGAAATGATTTATGGCATGTCCTTGAGCTTTTCTCATCTTATTTGCATAAGATGACAAAAACTCAAATTTTGCTAGGTGCTAACAATCATTGTGTTGCACTAGTCCATAGAGAGCTTTGCTCTGGCTTTAAATGGGCCTCCCGCTAGTGGACGGTGGGATTGGTCCCTTAGGATTACTCGATCTCAAGGCCGGATACCAAGTTTTCTAAAAAAAACTCTAAGATAGTTTATAAAAATAAGTTATAGCTTATATTAAAGCAATTTGAGTTTGTTTTATCTTTTGTTATAGAAATAACTTATAACTTACTTATAAACACTTATATGACTAAAAGTGTTGAATTATATTGTCTATCTGAATAGGACCTTAGTGATTATTAATGATGTGGATGTAGCTTGAGCTTTTAGTTGTTGTTTCAGGCACCTCCTCGATCTGATGTGGTGAAAAGCTTACAAAATGGTATAGTATTGAACCTTTTGGGGATGGGTGCTGCTATTCTAGGTATGCAAGCCACAGTTGGATTCTTGGTTGCAAAAGCTCTAACTTCTTCTGCCAACCCATATTATCAGGGGATCGCTCCTGGTTCAAGCCCGGTTCTCGCGTTGGATGTCTTTTTGGTGCAGGTAACACTTATTGGTTGTTCAATATAAAGTAAAGTTGCCTCCTAAATAGGAAATTTAAGTTATTTATCAACATTGCTCTCAGCTGTTCTCTTTCCCGTGTTTTGCAAACTTTGGCCTTTCCTAATAACGCTATTAAAAATGTTTTTATTCTCCAGTAGAAAAACTTTGTATAAGGCCATCATTTTGCCATTCTGGATAACAACTCTATGTCGACGTTCTTCATTTAAAGTTATAAAATAAATTAGGGGAATGATTAGACTATTGTTATTTGGCGGCAAAGTTTGGATTGATGAAGCTGAACTTGACAATTGCAATGTGAGCACAAATAACAGAATTCTTGTAATGCAAATAACTTCTGACATAGCTATGCATTATTAGATACATATTACTATATTAGAATGTATGAAATGCAAATGGATTCTCAACAATTGGAAAAACTGGTGTTTGGTTTATTGAATTTTTTTTTTCATTTTCAATTGATGATAAGTTTTCACATGATAAGAAAAATGCTATCTACTTTTATTTAGTGACAGAATCATGTTTCCAATGCTTTTCTAAATTCACGAAACAAGGAAATAGAATACAAACGAAGTGATATTTTTTTAGTTATTAGTGAGAACATATCAAATTGAAAGTGAATACTTCAACAACCACAAACTAATGTGAGTGACATTGACTGTGTTGGATTCAATTTATATGGTGCCTGGCTTCAAGTATTAACTATGTATTATTCTTTGTTTTACAGGCTTCGGCAAACACAATTCTCTCTCATTTCCTTGGGATTCTTTTCTCCCTAGAATTGTTGAGATCGGTCACATTACCGCCTTCAGAAGCTCTTCCATTTCTCAAGTTTGCATAAGGTGTGCCTCAGGTCTGATAGAATGATTTCACGCACATAAAAAACGTTTCTAGTGGTTGTTTTCTAAATGAATTGTGTTGAGTCTTGATGCAGCATTTTAAGGCCCTCATAGTTGGTGGTTGACATCTTATATTTCCAAATTGAACAGAACCTGTTCAATGTTGTTAATAAGCGTGAATCATGATAGCTCCCCAACCATTCAAGATCCATGAGCAGATTATCACAGTAGTGGGGTTTTGCCGCACTGTAGTGTTGACATTTTGGGAATGTTTGAGTTTTAACCTTGTCACTCTCATAACATTAAGTGTAAGAATGGAGAACTTTCAAATTGCAACTTTGAAACTGCTGTATATTAGACCTGTCATGCAATATCATAGCTTTTCTAAACTTAAAATACTGGTTACATTTCTGTCTATTTAATAAGAGATATGGAAAATTTTAAACTCAAATATTTTGGAGAAATGTATTTTTCAGCCATGCTTAAGTGCTTGTAATTGACGAAGTTATGATACATACATATTTCTATTGAAACGATAATAAGGATAGTTTATGCCTTTGAGTGTTTCCGATGCCTTGAGACTGGAGAGTTGGAGGGGTTACCAGTGCTTGACGTTATCAAGCAGAGGAATTGCGTGGGGAAGTGAAATTAAAGTAAAAAAAACTTTTAAGTTGTAACCATAAATGCAAACCACAGATTTGCATGTTTGATTTTAGTGTGAAAGGGACATTCGACAATTTACTCATGTTTCTAGTTTATCGAAAATTAATTTTGTTTGATTTATTACTAAATGACTTCAAATTTCAATTGATATAAAAGTAAAATACCCACTTATAAAAACAGGAAAATATTTATATAAAAAAAATCATAAATAAGCCGTTGTTGTTTATTGTAGCATATATAGAGCCAAGCAAAAGAAAAATAGATTAGAATGGGAATTAACTATTTGAAATTGAATGGAATAAGAAAAAATTGATTACAATAATAGGATGATATTTTCTAGAGTTTTTATTAGAATAATAAAAATATGTAAAATACGAATTAAAATAGAGTATAAATATTAAATATTACGGTAGAAAATACCAAATTCTCTTTACTAGGGTATAATAAATGTATAATAATATAAATATGATATTATTTAACATATCCCATCAAATTCATGAAATATTAAATTCTGGACAATTTAAATGACATTTTTATTATCACAATATAAGAAAGTTGGTTTAAAAAGAGAGACACTCATATAAAAAAACATTTTAATAGCGGTGAATGTCAAACCACGATATTCAAATTATGTAGAAGATAGTGATACAATATCTTATTTCTTATTTTTTTTTTAAAAATATAAAAATTTGTGGTAATCTTATGATTCGTGGAGTCATCAGTCCAATTAGCGTTAGAATAAACACTTAATTCTAATGAGGACGATGAGAGGAACAAAATGTTCTAAAAATAAGTTCTCTGAAGATAATGAAGAATGTGAAGAACAATTGCTCAATGTACTGTAGTGGGAGAGATAACAAATTGACTGACAACACGAACACCATAAGTAATATCATGTCTAATAATTATAAGATATACATGGCTGCCAACTAAAGTATGATACAAAGTGAGATCTGATAGAAAAACGCCATTAGAGGATGCATATTTCTCATTCAATTCAAGAAAACTATTTTTTCTCTAGTATTAGAAAAACAAGCTTGTCCAATGATGTTGCTAATGTACTTGGATTGTATTGTAACCGACAAAAAAATATGAGAGTTGTCACCACAATTTTTTGTCCTAAGAACGAAAAAGGAACGAAAAGTCCTAATTGATTTCATAGATTATTGGATGCGCGAATTAATTAGATAAAGAAAAGGTGTTTGAAACCTTTTACCTCCTTATAGGGATATTTCTTTATTTAATCATATTAATAAAACAAGGGAAAAAATTTAGATATAAATTTTGACTCTTGAAATATATTAATTTCGTGTATTTTTAATGCCTAACAAATATCTCTATTTATAGGAAAAACTTGTACCAATTAGTGAGGAGAAACATTGCTTCAATGATTTTTAAGATAACATGCGCTACTTTTGGCAATATATTTTGTAACAAATAAAGTCAAAAATTGTTAAATCAAGATTCAAACGTGTTATCTTTGAGTCAATATCAAAAGCATTAGCCACTACACCACATAAGCATTTATGATTATAGAGATCATGAAATCAGTTTACTCAATATTATTTATCAATTAAATATTTTTGAAATCTTACCAAAGGCTAGGAGCATTGATACAAAATTGAAGATTGTGCATTTTTGTGAGACACACCACTTATCCGCTTAAAACCTTAAGGTGATAGGTGAGTGGATTCTCCCATTTATATATTCTCAAGTCACCACATTCTTATCTAACGTGGAACTATTTCTCCACTCACTCACACTTGCATTATTATTCTAACAATTTTAACCGCGCGTCTGCGTATCCTCTTGCGAAGAAATCAAAGGTCATTTCGTAGTTCGAATGTGTTTGGTTAGTTTTTTTATAAGATTGCGTAGAATTTCTTTCGAACGGTCCTTTTAAATTCGTTCGAGTTTGAAAATTGAGTAATCGTAGACGCAGTTTGAAGTTTAACTTGGAAGCAATTTTAACAATCCTTTATTGAAAAAAGAATCTTGAGTTTTATTATGTTAGTAAAAAAAAAATTGTAATTGATTAGATGTTTTAAATTTAATTTGAATTTGATTGGTTGAAGAAGAGTTGATCTTCATTAGAATTAAATTGTGCGGAGTGAAGTAATTGATTTTTATAAACAGTTGATCCTTATTAGAATTAAATCTCACGAGGCGAAGAAATTCATTTAATTTATTGATGATTTAGATGTATTTCGATTTGAATAACCAATCGGTAGGCCTTAAGACGACCTATTAATTTCTCAAAAATATAAAATCCCTTTATTTACGAAAATATTGAATTAGTTAGATTTGAAAGAAAATGCTTGGATATATACAAATCAATTAATTTCTATAAAAACTAAATGTATATTTTATAACTAAAAATAAAGTTAACTTAATTAATAAATCTTAAATAAGAATTAATCTAAAATTATTCTAATGGAAATTTAAGTTAAAACTAAAATTACTCTAATAAAATAATTTAAAACTAAATAGATAAGCTAAAAGAAATTAAACTTGAGTGAAACCAAGAAAGGTGCTAATAGAAATAGACAGCAGTATCAAATAGAAACAAGTCTCATGGCCCACAGTCCAAGATCATATTAAAAAAACTCTAATCTATAAGTTAAAGTTAAGGAAAAGGAAAAACAGTACAAACAATGTGGGACGGCAGCTGAATGCAAGAAGAGAGATTGAAATTTTCAAACTCCAAGTTCAACCAATCATGCAAAGACAAATGGCAAAGCTTAAATAAAAAAATCAAAAAAGAAATATAACACAAATTTTTTACCAACATACACCCCTTTTAACAACTATATCCCAATATACCACACCTTTCAACCAATATTCTCAATATACCATCTTTTCAAAAAAAAATAATTTGAAATTAGGAGGCTCCGCCCAATGGATGGGCGGATGGTCTTAAAAAAACACAGCTTCCGCCCATTGCATTGGCGGAGCTGTGTGATCAACGTTTTTTTTTTAAAAATAATTTTAAAAATAAATTAAAATTGCTGTTAAATAAAAAAACAATATATTTTTATAAAATGAATTTGAAATATTTAATTTTAAGTCATTTTAATAAAATTATTAAAATATTAAAATTTTAATATACAAATAAAATTTATTTTAATGTAATTTTAAAAATAAATTAAAATTATTATTAAATAAGAAATCAATATATTTGTATAAAATGAAATTAAATTCAATTTTAAGTCATTTTAATGAAATTATTAAAATATTAAAATATTAATATACAAATAAAATTTATTTTAATGTAATTTTAAAAATATATTAAAATTATTATTAAATAAGAAATCAATATATTTGTATAAAATGAAATTGAAATATTCAAATTTAAGTCATTTTAATGAAATTATTAAAATACTAAAATATTAATATACAAATAAAATTTATTTTAATCTAATTTTAAAAATATATTAAAATTATTATTAAATAAGAAATCAATATATTTGTATAAAATGAAATTGAAATATTCAATTTTAAGTCATTTTAATGAAATTATTAAAATATTAAAATATTAATATACAAATAAAATTTATTTTAATGTAATTTTAAAAATATATTAAAATTATTATTAAATAAGAAATCAATATATTTGTATAAAATGAAATTGAAATATTCAAATTTAAGTCATTTTAATGAAATTATTAAAATATTAAAATATTAATATACAAATAAAATTTATTTTAATGTAATTTTAAAAATATATTAAAATTATTATTAAATAAGAAATCAATATATTTGTATAAAATGAAATTGAAATATTCAATTTTAAGTCATTTTAATGAAATTATTAAAATATTAAAATATTAATATACAAATAAAATTTATTTTAATGTAATTTTAAAAATATATTAAAATTATTATTAAATAAGAAATCAATATATTTGTATAAAATGAAATTGAAATATTCAATTTTAAGTCATTTTAATGAAATTATTAAAATATTAAAATATTAATATACAAATAAAATTTATTTTAATGTAATTTTAAAAATATATTAAAATTATTATTAAATAAGAAATCAATATATTTGTATAAAATGAAATTGAAATATTCAATTTTAAGTCATTTTAATGAAATTATTAAAATATTAAAATATTAATATACAAATAAAATTTATTTTAATGTAATTTTAAAAATATATTAAAATTATTATTAAATAAGAAATCAATGTTAAAATATTAATCATAGAAAGGGTCATGTTATTTTATTATTGCAGTGCGGCTCCGCCCCTGCAATGGACGGAGGGTTTTATTCATTTTATTATTTTATTATTTCAGTACGGTTCCGCCAGTGCGATGGGCGGAAGCTTTCGTAAATTTATTATTTATTTACGGCTCCGCCACGTTAATGGGCGGATGGTTTTATTATTTTATTAATTTAAAATTTTTGCTGTGACCTATAAATATCGTTGATGTTGAATGATCCAAGCTACACTTAAATTATTTTTCTTTAGTTGTATCTTAAAAATGTTTTCAACATCCGGGGAGTTTTCAATGTTTCCATATATGAAAAGAGACGCAGAACTTATTTTTTCTCCAGTAAAGCCTCAGATGAAGATCAAATTGTTGAACACGCAGACATTTGAGCATCTGCATAGGCACTTGGAGGGATGGTTAGGGAAAGAAATTGCCCAAGGTGAAAAGATTCGGAAAATAGAGAGGTTAGTTACGGTGCCTGGCTTAAATGGACCCACTCGTTCTTGGAGATTTGTTCACAACGACGCATGTGTTCTTAT